AAAAAAAAAAACCCTTGTCCAGCACGCATGAGACCCCGAGACTGATGCCTAGGACGGCAGTGGAGGAAGACTGTAAGAAAAGATTTTAAGGGATAAGAAGAGATTCATTGTCTCTGGAGTTCTTAATTATACACCCTAGTTCACCTCTAATTCATCCAGACAACATCCTGGGGCATGCAGGATATGCTAATATCTGCTCTCAGTTCCGTGTAAATATTATCCTAATATCTCCCGTGCAGAAAATGAGGTACACTGAAGTTATTTAACTTTCCCAAAATTCATGCAAATACATGGAAGGAAAAGGATTCTGACCCTATAACCTGGATCCATAGACCAACTAGGGACTAGTTATATTTAGTTACTCCCTCCTATAGTCTAAAAGGGAGTAAAAAGTGTAGGGGAAGCTACACGTGCATGCAAGTATGATAGCAGTGGGAAGTTCTGAACTTTCTTCATTTTGCTATGAACCTAAAATGAAACTAAAACAAACCTATCTAAAAAACAAACCAAATGAAAAGTTAACTCCCAAGCAATCTGGTCTAAAGAGCCAAAGAGAAATGGATAGGTTTTGAGCCATTTCTCATGAATCTCAAACAAGGACACCCTAGTACACAGAAATCCAAGAACAAAACTGGAGATCAGAGAGTAAGCCGAGGAAGAGGGCCACCCCCAATTCACAAGGTAAAATGCCAAAGGTGGGGAGCAGGGTCAGGAGAGTCTCACCTCTTCTCTGAGTTCCTTCATCCTTTCCTCAAAATCATAGTCCTTCTGTTTCTCTTCCATCTTCTTCTTGTTGACCTCAAAACGTTTCTTTACCTGATCCAGAGTGGAGCGTTCCACACGCATAGACATACCCAAGTTTCGCTGATCTGGGTGAGGTGAACAGTGAAGGCAACCGTAACTTTTAACAGTCTCAGCCCCTCAAAAAGTTTGGCCCTTGCTTTTTTTTTTTTTTTCTTTTTTAACCTTTTCATAATAAAATACACAACAAAAATAACTATGGCTAAAAGCAGCTCTGGGTCTCACCTGCTCTCAGAAGTGGCAGCCCCAGATAATTAGCAGGTAGCTTTCAACTGCATTTACTAACCAGATTATCAACCAGGTCAGCTAGCCTCCTCCTCTGGCCTCTGTGCTTCTGCACAGGAGTCACATACTCAGCAATACACATTTATAAATAAACACACACACACCAAGAAAACCACCCTACCACACTTCCCCTCGACCAGTCCCAGCTCCAGTCCTGAACTACCTCCATGTCTTACGTTTCTTTCCATTAATGTGATCGAGGAAGTTGATGGAGTCTTTCACCACGCAGTCACAGACATTGCAGTAGTAGCTGACAAACAAGAAGAAACAGTACACAGGTCAATCTGGTTTTTAAGGATCTTACCGTTTTCAGGAAAGAAACTCAAATTTTGGGGAAACTTATATGAAATCTGTTTCATTAATGGAGACATTAACTGGTCTGAGACCAAGCTGGCCTCAGACATGCAGAGTTTGTCCTGCCCCTTCATAAACGCTAGAATTACAGATGTGTATTTTTATAAAGCCTTGGAAGATAGTCTCCACCCTCCAAGGCAGCCTGACTCTCGTTGTCTTCCCTTCCTTTGTAGCTTCCTCCCAATCTGTGCCAAAATGTTCTGTGTGATAGTCAGAACAAGCAAAAGCAGTGGTTTATCACTTCCAAGATTAGATCATCATACAGTGGCTTCTGCATTTGTGAGGATGACCTGGTTTGGGGAAATTCATCTCTTTATGTTTTATTGTGAACAACCTTATAAATAGGCCCACAGGGTGAACTTCAGCCTCCAAACCATAGGCATCTGAGAGCTTGGAAGAAGATCTTCTAACTTTATTTAAGCTCCAGTGAATGCAAGCAAACCTAGTCAATTCCATGACTGCAGCTTCATTGGAGACCCTGATCCAGAACCTCCAAGGAAACTAACTACCCCTCAATTCTGTGCCCATGAAACTATGAGCAACTATTATTATTTTATGATCCTAGAGGTTTAACTTACTAATTTATACAGCAAAGGCATCAAAACAGTGGGCTTACTAAATAATCTGCAGAAATGTGGCTAACTGCTATATATCTGTATGAGTCTCCAGATAAACTCTAACTGGACAGAATTGAAGGAATGGTGGCAAAGGGGTGACCAGCTCTGTGGAACTCCTCTACAGATCACAGAACTGGTGTATAGTAACCACAGCTAACAGCTCCACCTAAAACACCCCAGTGCCTTCATAATAGACCATATAACCCCTTTGAGGGTACTACTGATGAAAAGCAGCCCACAGAACAAACTCCCCTGGAAATAGGGCTGAGTTGACTTCAAACTTCAGGAGGGGGCAAAGAAAAACAAAGAATCGAGTTATGGTCAATAAGGTCGCCATCCCTGACCTGAGACTTTCCTCAACACTTCCTAAAACCAATATGAATAGTTTATTAGACCAGCCTTGGTATTAGAGAAGGACAAAAAGCTACTCACCCTCCCATTTCAGACTGTGGGGTGGTCTTGGTAATGACGATCGTCTTCCCAAGCTTGGACTCCAAGTCCACCTTGTAATCCCTGTGCCGAAGAAGCTCCCGCTTGACGGGCTGCACTGGTTTTCCTGAAACAGAACGACAAAGTGGGTCCCTTCAGTATTTACTAGAATCTGTGTGTGTGTGTGTTTTAAGACAGGGTTTCTCTGTGTAGCCCTTGCTATACTGAACTCACTTTGTCGACCAGGCTGGCCTCAAACTCAGCCATCCACCTGCCCCTGCCTCCTCAGTACAGGGATTAACAGTGAGTATTACAGTACCTTGGCCAAAAAGGAAAAGAAATACATGAACCCCAAAATGAATATGACTACTCTTGTTGTTTTGTTTTTTGATTCCTCAACGTAGGGACACAATAGATACTTTATACAGCAGTTAAAAGAGGCCAGAAAAAACTCCAATTGGTCTGGAACTCACTATGTGGATCAAGCTAGCCTCGGATTTGATGGTAATCCCAACTCTCAAGAGCTTTTCTCCACTTTAAAGCTATCACACTTAACAGAGCTTCCTAGTCTAGGTGAACTGAGGAGTTCTGAATTTTTGCTTGAAGTAAACCTCTGAGAAGAGGGGAACTCACACTCCATAACATAATGGCCAATGTTCTCGTGCCTGTGATGGCTAACACTGATTGTCAACTTAACTACATCTGGAGTCACCTAAACCCAAGCAGTTGAGCACACCTGTTTGCAGTTTATTTTTATTTTTGTTTGGGGGGGGGGGGGATGAGCTGGATCATTTAAGATGGGAAAACCCAGCTGGGCGGAGGTGGTGCAGGCCTTTAATCCCAGCACTCAGGAGGCAGAGGCAGGCGGATCTCTGTGAGTTCGAGACCAGCCTGGTCAACAAGAGCTAGTTCCAGGACAGGCTCCAAAGCTACAGAGAAACCCTGTCTCTAAAAAAAAAGACAAAACAAAAAAGATGGGAAAACCCACCCTGAATATGGGCCACACCAGGGGGCAGTTCATGTAAAAGGAGAGGGGAAAGCTTTGGGCTTTTTTCGCCTGCTTGCCGTCACATGCTAACTGCAAGCTATCTATCCTGTTGCCGGGGCATTCCTTCTCTAGCCATTTTATCAACTCTACCATCCCCTTAGCCCTTCGTGAAGCGAGCACCCACCATCCTTCTTTTCTCTCTCTTCTGTGAGTCTCTTCTCCGCAAGCTTCTCATATTCATCTTTGTCCCACTTTCGGCGAAAGTCCAAGTTTTTTGTCTGTAGGGGGAAAAAGTGCTCAAGATCCGTCGTTGTGCCTGCTCCCCTGAAGAAACTAAGGGAACCGCCTAACTGCCACCAAGGCGGCCCCAGGACCTTTCAAAAGAGAAGTCTCTCTGGAACGCCCGGGGGTCTGGGGCACTCGGGACCCCAACCCGAGAGACTTCCGAGATTCCACGGTCCCTGCGCCAAGGCCTTACGGGGGAGTCCTCGAACCTGGACCCTGAGATCGCGAAGAGGTGTCAGGAAAACAGCCAAGTCTCACAGCTTGTCTCTATTTAGCTCCGAAAAACCACCCCGGACCCCTCAAACCTCCTTACACCAACACCTACCCCGCTGCCCGACGCCATCTTCACAGCGAAGTGAATGGAAAGCCGTAAAATGCCGTAAAGCGCGCCCGGGAACCATAAGGCAAAATCACGCTCCAATAAGATTCGAGCCTCGCGTTCTAACTGCGTAAAGGACTGGAGCGATTCTAAGGCTATCCTGTTAGCCCCGCCCTCTGTTCCAAGGAGACGGCGCAGGCGCAAAAGGAGCGTGAAGCAACACGGAAGTAAGGGCACTGGCCAACGTTTTTTCTCCGGCTTTCAAAACAAGCCCTGGAAGAGTAATAGCTCAGCTCTTTCTTGTATTTTACAAAGACTCAAGAGTTTCGGAAACAGTACCCCATGAGTGAATCAACTTTACCTGCATCTCAGGTTGTTGTTGTTTTTTTTTTTTGTTTTTTTTTTTTGTTTTTTTTTAAAGACAGGTTCTCAGGTAGCCCAGACTGGACTCTGTAGTGGTGGCTAGTCTTGAACTTCTGATTTTCCTGCCTCCACTTCCGAAGTACTGGGTTTACAGGCATGAGCCACCATGTCCCGTTCACGTGGCGCTGGAGCTTGAACCCAGGGCTTCGTTCATGCGATCAGGCATTCTACCAATTGGACTCTGCCTAGTAAACCTTATTTTTAAAGCTAACTCACTATCAGTGGTCTGGATGTCCTATTCACCAGCATGTACTATAAGTGTGGCTCTAAATTATGTTCAAAACACAAGCACTTTTACATTTGGGTTCATTTCCCCTGAAACAAAGATACTATTCTTTGGTTAAACTTATTTCCATGTCTGGAGAACATTTAAACTCATTCAATTTATGAAGTACAATTTAATCTAGACACTTTCACCAGCCAGCACCCCCAGAATAAAGCACTCAGCACTCTTGACAAGTTTGTAGTGCTTGAGACAGTCTACGTACCCCGGGCTATGATGCAGAGAGGATGGTTTTGATCTCCTCAACCTCCTGCCTCCACTTTCCAAGCGCTAGGGTTATAGCCATGGTATGTTTTAAGAAAAGATCTATTGGGCCCTGGCTAATCTGAAACTCTCTTTGTATTTTCCTCGGTGTATTAACTGGAGTCACAAGAACTCTGCCCATCTGGGTTCCCAATAAAGAAAACCTCCCTCTTTGAGGCTACTTTCCCTCTTCATCTATCCAGCCTCTTGTCTGAACATCCTCCCTTTTTCTGCGTTCTGCTTGTTTTAATCTTTACTCTTGTTCAGTTAACCTCAAACTCAAGAGATTCTGCTGCCTCTGCCCCACCATTCCACTGCTGGGATTAAACATGTGCACATTGGGCAGAAGTTATTGCTGTCGATGTTGTTTTGAAAAGGGGTCTCATGTAAACCCAAGGCTGAATTTTTATCTATTTATTCATATTTTGTTTTTTTGGGTTTTTTTTTTTTTTTTTTTTTTTTGGTTTTTTTGAGACAGGGTTTCTCTGTGTTGCTCTGAAGCCTGTCCTGGAACTAGCTCTTGTAGACCAGGCTGGCCTCGAACTCACAGAGATCCTCCTGCCTCTGCCCCCCCCCCACCGAGAGCTGGGACTAAAGGTGTGCACCACCACCACCATCACCACCGCCTGGCCCCAAAGCCAACTTTGAGCTTCTCATCCTCCTTTCACCTCCAAAAGGAATGGTGTCCAAAATCTCCAAAGATCAGATCAGGTCGCTAACTTATCAACCATTAAACTCAATGTCCAAAATAATTAAAGAGCCCCACCCTTCTACTGTTAACTTGAAGAAGCAGACACACTCCTGGTCCTTGAGACATCATCTCTATTAACCGTCCTTTCTTACTGTCTTTTTAATACTCCACAGACAGAACATAGTCTAATGTAGACAATTTCTCCAAAATCTTATTCCTAAGATACAATACAGTAAAGTGAATTATATAGTTAGCTTCTCATTTCAATTGTCCAGAGCCTCGTTCACAGTAACCATCTTAACATCTCTTGACAGAATTCAAAGGCACTTCAGCTCTGCCTTTGCAGCTGGAGTGTGCTTCTTCTGCATGCCAGCCATGTTCACTCAAGCAGAGCAGCCTCATGATTCCTCAGGGCCACTTCTGTATCCAGGACAGATGGAGGCATAAGGCAACTGTACAGCAGCCATGCTGGCCAGCTGTTGTAAAGTCCACCAGAGCTCAGTCCTAAATGAAAACTTTTCTTCTAAGGGCAGCAGACAGAAATCAGGCAACAATCAAGACTCAGACAGTCGCTTTTGAATTTCAGCCACAAGAATTTCTCGATTAATGGTCACCTAAAACAGAAAATGATGCTTAGCCAGTTTTTCCAAATTTACTTCATTCTGAATTCTCTCTTTTATCTGCATGTATGCCTTCTCGCCAGAAGAGGGCACCAGATCTCATTATTATGGTTGTGAGCCACCATGTGGTTACTGGGAATTGAGCTCAAAACCTCTGAAGAGCAGCCAGCAGCCAAAGCTCTTAGACACTAAGCTATCTCTCCAATCCCCTGAATCTATTCTATTTACACCTGGGACCTACATTATGGAAGGAGAGAAGTGACTCCTGCAAGGTGAAATACACATATATGCATGAGATATATGTGCACAAATACATACACATACACACACACATACACACATACTCACACACACACATACAAGTAATTTAAAAGAAAAAGTTTTAAATTTATTTCCTCAGAGACCGCATCTCTGAAAAGAATCTGGAATCAGTTGGGTGATGGTGGCATACACCTTTAGTCCCAGGAGGCAGGGGCAACTAGATCTCCAAGTTCAAGACCAGCCTGGTTGGTCTACAGAGCAAGTTCCAGGACAATTAGAGCTACATAGAGAAACCCTGTCTAAAAAAAAAAAAAAAAAAAAAAAGGAATCTGGGAACTAGGAATGACAATATATGCCTGTAGCCACAGCACTTGAGAGGTTGTAGCACGAAGATCAAGAGTTCAAGGAGAGCCTGGGTGTCACAGTCCCAGACCATTCTGAGCTAAAGAGTGCAACCTGTCTTTAAAAGGGTGGGGTGGGGTGCAGCATTTGGAACTCAGTATTTCCACAAGGTCCCACTCACTTCTTCTCTGCTGGCCACTGAACGGAGCTTGAGGACACCTTCCTTCTGTTCTTGCTCACCAATGATGACCATCAGAGGAATACCTGTTTTCTCACAATAATGCAGCTGGGTTAATAGTTTAGGGTTGTTTTTATAGAGTATCTCTGCCTGAAAAGGATAAAAAGGAAGTAGGGGAGTTGACGTGGTTATAGTACGTAAGTGCCCAAGAACATACATTTCCAAGGGAGCCAGAAATAAGTAGCTAGCCCTCTAGTGGTAAGCTAAAAATGTCCTGAGTACCACCGCAGGCATGAAATGAGCCATGATTATGGTGACCACATACACCCAGATCACTCTGATACCAGCACTACCAAACCTTGATTCCAGCATCCCAAAGCTCTGCGATTAGCTTCAACCGTTCTCGAAGAAAGTTCTTCTGGGGTGTGGCCACAAACACTTGGGTCTCTGTGGTTCGAACCTTCTTACCAGAAGCCTAATAAAACAGAAGAAACTAAAACTACAGCCTAGGGTAGCTCTCTGTAATCCCAGTACTCAGGTGTCTAGGGCAGGAAGATCCTAAGATCAAGGCCCACTTAGGCTCAGAAAGAAATCCTATTTCAGATAGTTCTTTTAAGGGGGTTGGGAGGAGTGCAGAGGGAGGAAAGGCTTGGAGAAATGGCTCAGAAGTTAGAGTACTTGTTCTTTCAAAAGATCCAAGTTCAGTCCTCCACACTGACATGGTGGCTCACCCATAGCTCTGACCACCCACTTCTGACCTCCATTGGCACCAAGCATGCACACACCTTCAGGCTAAACACTCATGCACATAAAAAGATAGAATCAATCTTTTAAAAAATAACAATAGATATTTCCCTTTGTACTATCAATTCCAAGAAGCAAAAAGAAAAAAAAAGGTCCAAAATGCACCTCCAGAAACTAGTTCTTAGCTTCAAGGTCACTTCAACTCTACCTAGGACCTACCTTCATCTTCTGCTCCATAAGGAAGAAGATTCTCTCTACTCCAATGCTCAACCCCACACAGGGCACGTTATGGCCCTTGGGATCAAACTGGGCTACCAGGCCATCATAGCGTCCACCAGCAGCAACACTGCCCACATTCAGAGCCTCCGTTGCAGCCTGATCCGGAGACGATAGTAGTACTGCTTCATAGATCACTCCTGTATAATAGTCTAGGCCCCGGGCTAGACTTAAGTCAAAGGAGATCTGTAAGGGAAAAGCTACAGTCAGTCCCAGACCAGACTCTGAGAACCTAGGAGCTCAACAGAAGGTCAATCCCAGCTCTTCCTACCTTTTCAGCAATTCCAAATAGAGTCAGGTATTCAAAGAGCAGCTTCAGGTCCGCCAAGCCCTGCAAGGCCAGCTGGCTTTGGGACAGATTGGGATCCTTGGACATTTCCTCTACCAGGGATATCCCCCCTGGGAAGAAAAGTCAGGTAAAGTCTGTGTTGTTTGCCCAAGTTTGTTTGATCCAAGTTGTTGCTGTTTCAGTCTGAGTTTTTGTTTGTTTGGTTTTGGATAGAGTCTCTCTACATAGCCCAGGTTATCCTAGAATTCATTATGTACACCAGGTTGGCCTCAAACTCATGGAGATCCACCTACCCCTGCCTCCCAAGGGCTGGGACTAAAAACATGTGCCACCACAGCCAGCTTGAATTTATCTGCTCTAACCCACCTTCCTCATTTTCTTTAAAAACAAACAAAAAAACAAAACCCACATCCTTAGTGTCAAGACCTTCTTCTCTGCTTCTGCCTTTGCCAAGAAAACATAAAGCAGTTTCAATACATAAAAGGGAAACTTGATCCAGGCCAGAATCTGGAGCTGGACACATGTCGCCCTCAGCCGGTTGACCACGGCTCTGAAAGCACTAGTTCTTACCGTGACATTGGGCATACTCCCCAATCCGATCGGCCACCTCAGGAGCCAGGCCTTTCTTGACCACCATCTCATGTCTCACATCTTCCCAAGACATCTGCGTTGAGATAAACATTAGCTCAACCCAAGCTCCTCTTCACCTAACTGACACAGGACATCTTGTTTTCATTTGGCATAGATATCTAGAGGA